CGTGGCCGGGGCCGGGGCCGCTGACACGGGCCTCGCTCCCGGCAGAGACCAAGGTCTACGTGGGGAACCTGGGCACGGGCGCGGGCAAGGGCGAGCTGGAGAGGGCCTTCAGCTACTATGGGCCGCTGCGAACGGTGTGGATCGCGAGGAACCCGCCGGGGTTTGCCTTCGTGGAGTTTGAAGACCCGAGGGATGCGGAGGACGCGGTGCTCGGGCTCGATGGCAAGTACGTGCGTATTTCGAAAGACCGTGGAGCTGCCGTTATGTAAAACCAGAGAGAGAAAGAATCGGGAATTTTTGTCTGGTTCCTTACGTTTGTGTAGTTCTGCCTTAGGCAAGCAGTAAGTTAACTTACAGCCATCGTGGACTTGTTCCAGGGTGATTTGTGGCTCCAGGGTCAGAGTGGAAGTGTCAACAGGGATGCCTCGTCGCTCCCGCTATGACAGGCCTCCGGCGCGGCGCCCCTTTGACCCTAATGACAGATGCTATGAGTGTGGCGAGAAAGGCCACTATGCTTACGATTGTCATCGCTATAGTCGCCGGAGGAGGAGCAGGTACGTATGGGACCAGAGGCGGCTGGGTTGTCTCGCCAGATAACTCTTGTGTAGCTCTTGTTAGCAAAGAAGAGAATGTTACGCCAGTTTTAACTCTTAATGTTGTAAGTCAACAGGTATATATCGCAATTTGTTGCTAATACATATCGAATGTTAATATCTTAATAATCAACCTGGTCAAAACCTTTCAGGTTTCTTCGTTTGAGTCAGTCGCCTTGATTCAGAATGTCACGAGCCTTAAGATTTCATGCTGAGGCGCCTTGCAAATCCGACACTTAAGATCCTCCTAGACCTTGAGGTGATCAGCATAAGAGGCCAGATCCCCTCGAGCCATCTACACGTAGCTTCACCTTATTCTTTAAGGGCAGAAAATTTGAGACGGTGATCGCCGTAACAGTAAATTTGGCTTTCAATTGGGGCCCCCCCCTCCGGTTTAGAAAGAGGAACACCAGATTGACCACATTCCCACCTAGAAAAATCTTCTTGCGTCAATCAAGCCTCACCCTGGCTCATTGGGCTGTCAGTTTGATCGTCGTTAGATTGAAGAGAACACCTAGATGCAGCGATCGGCTATAGATACTTCTAGACCGTCTAGATCTGCTAGACCTTGGGCCAAAGAGGGTCGACCTGCAAACTTGCAAGGTTTATTTTAAATACGCATTACAGTGTTTTCTATTCTAATGTAATTCTGCAATGTAATTCAGCTTTTAACATTTTTCTAGGCAGTAAAAATGCTCAAGACAAGTAGGCCCAGAGATTTTTTTCCAACTGACAGATGCTAGTGTTTGTTTTATTTTTTTTTTTTTAATTTTTTTAGTTGTCTGAAAGTTTTTGACTACTTCAGCAGAGGCTCACGTGTGCTGGTTGCTGTGGCTGTTTCCTGATACCTGTTTTCTCTAACCTAAAACTAGGTCCCGGTCTCGATCCCGTTCGAGGTCCCGAGGAAGGAGGTATTCTCGGTCACGCAGTCGCAGTCGTGGTAGGAGGTACGCTTTAGGCTTGTTGAGAGTTGTGTTTTGTTTTGTTGCTTTTTCTTTTTTTTAATTTTGGGGGTTTTCTTTCTTTTGTAGATCAAGATCAGCTTCTTACCGCAGGTCCAGGTCAATCTCTCCTCGTAGGTATAGATCATTTTCACCCCGCAGATCACGTTCTGGTTCCTTAAGGAGATCAAGGTAGGGGTCACCTGTTTTAGGTTGTAAATGGAACAAGGTTGGAAGGGAACACAACTGTTAACATTAAGTCTGTATGTCATGCTCTGTGTGTCCACAGGAAGCTTCATGGCGTTACATCCCTGAAAGCTTACCAGGCCCCTTTTCTCAAGTTGAAATTTGTTCTTAGAGCTCTAGATGTGTCATTGCTGAGCTTTTTGGCATTGTATCATCATTATTACAGTGTGAATTGTTACCCGTGGTTAAGAATTGCTACTTTAGTTCTAAGGACGCAGGAAGTATTTATACTTAACTAATCAGGGCAGAAGGATTTCTTGTGTGGATAGTTCCACTGGGTTAGTTTATTACAATATTCTAATAATACAAGAAGGTTACTTCTGCAGAACTGATAGTAGTCTTTGTTTAATGGTATTGACTTTAGAGAATTGGGTTGTAGGATCTCGGTTGTTGCATGAATTGTATGGTAGTTGAGTTTTCACTGTTTTTTTTCTAGGTCTAGGTCCAGATCACGCTCGAGATCTCGGTCTGTTGTGTGGCCCAGAAGCAGGTAAGATACTTAACTTGATTCAAACCAGTAATAATACTCTCTCCCTCCCCTCCCTCCCTCTGGAAATTTAGGCTCAGTGTGGTTGCAGAGTTTTGCAGCATAGCAGTTAAGTTACTGCAGTAACTTAACTGCTGCCTTTTCACAGTCTGCTTCGGTGGTCCGTTTCTTGTAATAAACGAACAGGTGTTTTAGTCTGTGGCTAGGTCTCTGCCTGTGTGCACATATGTATATGTAGCCAGAAACAAAACGCATGACTTACAAAAGGGTAGGAGAAATACAAGTCCCACGGAGAGAAGTTCTGGAAACTGATTATATGTTTAAAGAATGCTTGAGCTCACGTCCTGTGGGAAGTTAGCAAAATATCATGCTGTTGCTTAGTATTCTCTTGGCATGTTTTTTTGAATGGTACATGCTGAGGAGAATTGATGAGAAGATTCCTGCTAGTGCCTGAACTCTTGCTTACAGCTGTTAAGCAGTCTGCCAGTTGTGGGACTTGGATAGTGTTATGTTACTGTAGTACTAAGAACCAGCTTGTATGGAGTAAAGCACCTGGCTTGAGAGTTTTAGACGAGAGAATGAAGAGGAATGTGAGCCCTGGTGTTTTGAGGGGTTGCTCTGACGTGTAGTCCTGGCTTTGTGGACCCAGATGTTTCCTGCTGCCTGTGACTGGCAGGCTGAAATGGAAGATGAGGAATTTGGAGTAAATGCTGCTGTATTATTTTCCTCTCCTTTGAGTCTTGGCTTAGAAGAAGGATGAAAGAGTAGGATAAAAATATTACAGAGATGAGAGCTGGCACGTTGGAAGAAATTGTCTTCTGTATTGTATTAGCACCGACTGCAGTGCTGCAATTTAGGTGAGCCAGGCTCAAATTGCATGCTGCTAATGTGGAAAAATCTGCATACTGCTAATGTTGCTTGGTGACTTCTGGTTTGGGGACAGTCATGTTCCTGCAGAAAAGACGATGCTTTTTTTGAGACCGGCGTTGAAATTTCTGAGGAATGCTGACTTTGTAGGTCTGCAATTGCAGTGGTCAGAAATACGGCAGTTAAGGGCTGGACTCTCAGCAGCGCTGTGGAAAAACTCGTAACTTCTGTATTGGCCAGCGTTGTTCTTGTGGTAATATAGTAGAATGCTAGTGCGCAACTGTGGTGCTGCTTCTAAAACTTGTTTTGCGGTCCTTGCTTTGTTGCTTGCCTCTGGGAATGAGCACTTAACCAGCAGTTCTCATAGTAAGATGATGCTGGTGTGCAGCCTTACAGTATTTCTGAACAAAGGAAGTCATGCTACAAAATTACGGACTTCGGGATAGACTTGAGCAACTCTATGCTGTGTAATTTTGATACTTTTCACCATCACCAGAAATGTTGTTACTGTATTTCAGGCTGACTGTTAGGAACTGTTACAGGTGATGAGCCAGCATGGTGACTGAGAAGCTTTTAGAAGTAGCGGAACATTACTCTTTTCTTTAACTTGCTCTAACGGTGTCTACATAGTCTTTTTATAAACTAATGGGCAAGATAAATGACTTGACTACCCTTTAAAACTAGTTCTGAGTAGAAATAGAATAAAAAAGCTTCATGCTCTTCTGGCCAATTCTGTTGAACAGCTGACTGTAACTTGCATGCAAGGCTTGTCGATGTTCAGTAATAATGACGTGGATGAATTCTGAGGCTCTGGAAGGGGACAAATTCTAAGTAAGTGACCCAGCAGCAAATATTTGAGTCAGCAGCATAACATGATGAATACGGGAGAAAGTCGTATTGAAGCTCTGAAGCTGTAAGATGAACTTTGGCGAAAGCTTACAAATCATGAAGCCCTCCTAGCATTCACAGTTTCTAGGATCTAGTAGTCTAGATTCACGGCATTTCAGTTTTCTGTTGGATACTTTTATTGGGATGTTTGAACCTCATTATACTTGAATAAAACTGGCAGTGAGAACTCTGAACTGGAGAATGCATCAGTTCTTCAGCACTTGCTTACCTCTAGCTGACATCAGTGTCTTAAGGTGGTGTTACTAAAAGGTTTTCCAAATAGCAACACTTGAAACAACCGTTGTGCCCTTATGGGATACTTGAAGGAAAAAAACACCGGGAGCCTGGAACAAAGCTTTCTGTTTTATGAAAGCGGTGGCCAAAGCTTTGCTGGGGAGCTGGCTGAGCCTGTAGCATCTCCTGGCAAGTGGGGCCTCTGAACTAAAGGAGCTAAAGGAGTCCTCTGTAGTGTCTTGAGGAAAAGCCTGCAGCACTGGAGTCTTCCTCTTTGGTGTGTGATGCTATGTAGTGTGACTTTGCAGTTGCTGATTCAGCTAACTTTCATTGTATGTGCACGCCACTGGCTGCTTTGCTGAGCTTTGTTTTTCTCCTGTTGTAGGTCTGGGTCCCATGGTAGATCTAAATCTGGCTTACCTGCTAAAAGGTGAGCGTAAATGCAACTAGCACTCAGTTTTTTGTTTGTGTGTGGCTTCCTCCTCTTCTTG